AACGACGGTATTCCGGTACGTACAACAATTCCAATTACAATTGATTGCCTGCTTCCAACTAGTTTAAAATTTTGTTAAATGCAAACTTAGTTCACATGTTCGGTGTTGTTTTCCATAACTATTGATGCATTTAGGTTAGGAAAGATAAGGCAAATTGGTCAGCGAGAAATACTCGCACCTTCTGTTCCATCTGGTGCCATCAAATGGACATAGGAAACTATGTTCGCGGTATTATGCAAAAAAATGGCTGGAGGGACATCATTAAGAGGTACTTCCAAGCCACTGGTTTAGTTCACGACAGGGAGCAATTCATGGGGAGACACAGGCAACTTAGGAAGCAATGGGCATTCTGTAATAAGCTCCGCTCCAGCTCTGGCTTAGGGAGGAACCCTGATGGGACTTTTGTCGCCGAGGATGATTGGTGGGCTGCCAACACCAAGGTAAATTGGTCATGTCTCTCTAATGTTGTGAACACATGTTAAGTTTAGCAGGCCATGACATGTGCTTTCGTTGGACAGGGACATCCTGATTGGAAGAAGTTTAGGAAAGGCTTGCCTGAATATTTGCCTGAAATGGACAGAATGTTTGAGGGTGTTGCAGTGGATGGTTCTATATCCTTTGTTGCGACTGCTGACCAGCCTGTAGAGTGCGACAGCTCTGATGAAGCGGATGATGATGAGGACGACGATGAGCTGACTCCTCTTAGTGTCGGCAACAAAAGGACAAGCAGCACGAGCACCACAGCCTCGAGTCCAAGTAAGAAGTCTAGGAGTCCAGCGGTGAGGGTAATGGACAGAAACATGAGTGAGTACAACGAAATTTCAGGGAACAAACTCAGTGTCCTGGAGACCATGTTGCAAGTAAAGTAGGATGCTATGCAGGAAGAACGCAAAGCTATTGAGCGGAAGGTGGCAAAGGTTAACGAGCTGGCAAAGGAGTGTGGGGTAACTCCCTCTGAGACCCCAACATTGTTCATGGGCGTCCTCGAAATCATCAAGTATCAAAGTGTGATGGACTTGTTCATTGTCACTGAGCCTGAAGGAAGGATGCTCATCATCAAGAAATATGCAGGGGTCGACAACTAGTCCAGCTAATGTTTTGTCATGGCTATATTTCCTACTTTATGTACTAATGGCCGTATGTTCACTCGGATGTATGGTGCATGTATTTGTGTGTTTGGACTATGTTCCTGATGTGTGTTATTTAAACATCAGCATGGTACTACTATTAATGAACTCTATGTATGCTGCTGATTTGAACTATGTAATGCATGGCTGAGAAAGAAATGCATATTAATCATGTCTATGTATTTTTCATTGTTAATATTTTGCATTGCTTGTTTTGACAGGATGATGACCAATCAGGTTATGTGGAGGATGATGACCAATCAGGTTATGAGGAGTCGCACCGTCGACTTAAGCGTTGGGAGGATGAGATAGACGAGTTAATCATTGCATTGATGGATGATGATGACGACGGTTATGTGTACGGTATGTACCGGTATGCCATTCACATTGACAAGCATTTGACTAGAGCTGAGTACACAACCTGCCATGACTGGTTTGGAATGGGTACATAGAAAACTTGGGGACAGAAAGGCCTGTTATAACATGTTTAGAATGAGTCCAACTATGTTCCTTCGCCTGCATGATCTATTGGTACAGTCGTATGAGCTTAAATCTAGTAGCAAGTCAACCTCGGTTGAGGCACTTGCGATGTTTCTTTGGATGGTTGGTGCCCCGCAATCTATTAGACAAGCTGAGGACAGATTTGAGAGGTCAATGGGGACTGTAAGTAGACTGTTTAACAAAGTTTTGCAATCTATCATCAAGCTTGCCGTTGATGTCATAAAGCTGGTTGACCCACAATTCACAACAATGCATACAAGACTGAGGAACCGTAGGTTCTTTCCCTACTTCAAGGATTGCATAGGGGCTATAGATGGGACTCATGTACCTTGCGTGGTGCCAAGTAACAAGTTGGTGCAGCACTTGTGCTGCAAGGGCATGACAACACAAAATGTGATGGTTGTCTGTGACTTTGACATGAGGTTTACATTTGTACTAGCTGGATGGCCAGGTTCGGTACATGACATGAGAGTATTTGATGATGCCCACACAACATACACCCATGTGTTTCCACATTCACCTACAGGTATATGCTTTAATGGTACTTGTTCCTTCTTTGTTATTTGAAATATGTCATACTAACTCATGTTTGATGCTGTAGGGAAATATTACCTAGTCGACTCTGGGTACCCTAACCGGCCAGGTTACCTTGCTCCTTACAAGGGAACCAAGTATCATCTTCAGGAGTATCGCGACGCCCCTGAACCACAAGGTAAGGAAGAGAACTTCAACTATGCACACTCATCTCTTAGGAATGTCATTGAAAGGTCATTTGGAGTTTTGAAAATGAAGTGGAGGATGTTGGAGAAGATCCCTAGTTATGATCCTCGTAAACAGACACAAATTATAATTGCATGTTGTGCGCTACATAACTTCATTAGGAAAAGTGGCATACGTGACAAGCACTTCGATCGTTGTGACCGTGATGAGAACTATGTGCCGCCACAAGCTAGTGCCGATCAACCTAAGACCGAAGAAGTGTTTGATGATTGTGATCTGATGAATGCATTTCGTGATTCCATTGCACTTGCTTTGGTACACGGTTCTTGAATTTTGTTTGTCATTTGGAACATGCGTATGGACTGTCATGTATGCGGCTGATGTGTATGTTTGACAACTTATTTGTGGATTTCTATTGCTTGCATAATTGTTGACTGCATTTGTAATGTGCTACTGTTATGGAGGATGTAAGCCAAGAGATTTATGTTGTATGTCAGTATGTGTGTGACGTCGCATGGCAGCTGTGTTTGCTGTACCATGCATGTATGCCAAATTCATTATTTGTTTGCAGCAACAGCATCGCCCATGAAGCAAGTTTGAAAGTCAGCCATGCATGCATGGCATTAAATATGGGCAATTCAGGAATTCTGTGTCAGGGGCCCAAAACTTCTTGCCAAAACTTTCTGCATGTTTAGTTCCCAAAATCTAAAAACTGTGCAGTTCCCGAAAATTTTTGCCTTGCCCCAAAAATTTTGGGCAACTAAACACGGCGTAAGTGGCAGTGGTTGTGCTATCTCTCTAATATTCCTGGACTGTCAGTTTCCCACCATTTTGGGCCCAAATGGGACTCAGATTATGTGCTGGCCCAGCACATCACTAGTGTTTAGCACAAGTGGATACAGGGGTAATCTGCTGCATTATAATCTGTACCTCGCTAGTGTTAAAAGCTGTGTTCGGGAGGCATATGGTTCCCAACCTTGCCTCCCGACACGGAAAACAAAGCATACTATTATAGTGAGATTAATTAGTATTAGTATAAAAAAACATGAAAAATGGATTAATATGATTTTTTAAAGCAACTTTCCAATAAAAAAACTTTTGCACAAAATACACCGTTTAGCAGTTTGAAAAGCGTGTGCGCGGAAAACGAAGGAAGTGAGTTAGGAAAGAGGGGGAAAGAACACAGCCAGTTCCAATAGGAACCGTGCGCACGGAAAATAGAGCGATCCATTAGCGTGTGATTAATTAAGTATTAGCTATTTTTTTCAAAAATGAATCAATATGATTTTTTAAGCAACTTTCGTGTAGAAACTTTTTGCAAAAAACGCACCGTTTAGCAGATTGAAAAGCGTGCGCACGGAAAACGAGATGAGAGAGTTGGGAAAACAGAGTAGGATCCCAACAAGAACATTGCCCAGTGCCCATAGAAAACAGAAAACAGAGCAGCATATTAGCACGTGATTAATTAAGTAATAGCTATTTTTTAAAAAAAATAGATTAATTTGATTTTTTAAGCAACTTTCGTATAGAAACTTTTTGCAAAAAAAATACATCGTTTAGTGGTTTGAAAAGCGTGCGCGCAGAAAACGAGGAATAGAGGTTTGGAATAAGGGGTGCCGAGAACAACCTAAGTTGCTACTTTTGTAACTCTAAAGAGTCGATACATTGACTGTCTCATGGCAAGGTACATTTGAAGTGCATGTTTCTTTACTTTCAGAATTAGCCAACCCCATAACATGGCTCATATGTTTGGAAATTGGTTGAATGGTTTTGAACCTAGACTTAAAAGATAAATTTATATGGGCATTGCGGCAATTTTGTGGGTTTTATGGCTTAATAGGAATGATGTAGTCTTTAATGGCTCCAATCCAATTTCTTTCATGCAGGTAATCTTCAGAGGGACTCATTGTGCAAGACTTTGGTCTTGCTTTTTAAAGAGGACGATGGAGATGCCATCCAAGTTCATTGTAGAATTTTGGAGACACGAGTAATGGAGTTTTATGCAACTTATGGCTGAAATTTTAGAAGAAGGATTGAAGCTTAGCTTTCTATGATTCTTAATATGGGTTATATCTTTATGTGATATTGCCCATGTATCGGGATGAGTCTTATGCAAACTTTCGTAGCTCGTGTTGTCCCTCATATAACTTGATGAGTCTTATGTACTCTTGGAAACTTGTTTGGTTGTGTACACCCTCTCACAGGTGTAGAGGCTAGGTTTAATATAAATCCATTATCTTAAAAAAAAATTGGAAACAGGGGTGGTTTTGAGGCTAATCAAATCAGATACATTCTACGACAAATAAGGATAAATGGAATTTAAATCAACAAGCCCGTCTAGCTCAGTCGGTAGAGCGCAAGGCTCTTAACCTTGTGGTCGTGGGTTCGAGCCCCACGGTGGGCGCCTTCTTTTTTTAATTTCTTTTCACACCCGTTTCATATTTTGATCAATACATTTTGTTCCACACATTTTTCTTACCATTTCATCTTCTTCTCACTTAACATTTTGTTCCACACATTTTTTTTCTTACCATTTCACCTTCTTCTCGCTTAATAAAACATTTCGTATTTTTCTTCTCACTTAATATAAACATTTCTTGATCAATGCATTCCTTTTCCACACCTTTTTCTTACTTAATAGACCATTTCGCCTTCTTCTCACTTAATAAAACATTTCATATTTTGATCAATGCTTTTCTTTCACACACATTTTTCTTAGTACTACATCCCCTCCAAAATAGAACAATCTAGGATCGGATGGGACTAATCCTAATACTACGACCATTTCATATTTTGATCAAATGCGGTGTGTTTAGATTTATTTAATCTGCTCCATTATAATCTGTACAATATATAAGGAAATGGTCATCTGACTACGTCAGTAATTCTTCAGCAGCTAAGCTTCAACGTACGCCTTCTGCGCCTACTTAATCGATGAGATCTCTCTTCGTGCCGATGATCCGACTCGCAGGAACACACGACCAGCAAAGCAATCATCGATCTTTCTCAACTCTCAACTCTCAGCTCGACTGATTCGATTCCACAATGATCCATGGATGGATGCCGCTATCAGAGGAGCCATGGCGCGAACTCCAAGTAGTCGTCGTCTTCGTCCCCAAGCGAAGAAGGCACCTCCTCCTCCTACTGGTGGTGGTGGTGGTGGTGGTGGTGGTGGTGGTCACCGTCGTCGTCTTCCTCTGCTTCCAGCTGCCCCAGCAACGCCTCCAGGTCAACAGCTCCAGCCTCGCCACCGCCACCGGCGCCGCCGAGCTCATAGCCAATCGGCATCGGCAGATTCGGCACCGCTCCGGCGGCGGCGTTACCGTCGTCGTGGCCGCCGCCGCGCCACGGGCTGATCAGGAAGCCGTCGAGTCCTCCCAGCTCGATGTCGTCCAAGTCAAGGTCGATACAGACGGCCGGCACCGGCAGGTCGTCGTCATCCTCCGCTCCGGCCAGCTCTTGCTGCTGCTGCTGCTGCACCGCCTGCGGCGTGGCCACCTTATCAGCCGCCGCGTCTCCCGGCGCGCCGCTCTCCGGCGGACGGCCGCCGTGGCTGCAGGCGCCTGCCTGCTGCACCACCACTATCCCGCTGCTGCTGTTGTTGTTGCACCGCAGCGCCTTGGTCCGGATTGGGCTGACGACGACCGTGCGGGGCTCCGGCGATCGCCGGCGTCGTGCAGCAGCGCCGGCGGCGTCGGCATTGCTGCTGGTGGTGGCCGCCGCCGGCATGCTGGTGGCGGCGGCGGTCCGTTGCATGGCGACCCGCTTGCTGAGGGTGCTGTTCCAGTAGTTCTTGATTTCATTGTCTGTTCGCCCCGGCAGCCTCCCGGCTATCAGCGACCATCTGCATCCATAGTTCCATACAAGTCTTACCAAGTTTTCAAAATTGAAGCAATTTCGACCAAATTTGAAAAAGAAAAGAACAACACAAAAGTTTTGGTTCGCTACGTATTGCAGATCTACAGCAGTAAACAAGTTTTAAGTATAGATGGCCATATGGCCCGAGGCCCATGGCCCGGCCCAAGGCACGCCATTTTGGCCCAGCCCAAACATGGCATGACCCGACTGGGGTCGTGCCCGTACTAGCCAGATCCAACAACCGGGCCATGCCTGGGCTGCACCCTAGGCACGGTGGGTTGGCCCGGCACAACAACTATAGGGATGCAAATAGACTTAATTACCGTATAAGGCAAGGCCAAAAAGAAGAAGAATACAAAATAGACTTATTTTCCAGCCATATGAACACAGTCAACAGAGTTGAGGGATAAAAAATATACTTTTTTTTTAGAAGCACAATGGGCCGTCGTGTCTTTCGGACTGCTGTGTATGCAGCCCGTGGGCTGGCACGGCACGGCCCGGCGTGTCGGTCGGGCCATGCCGACCTGATTAACCTCGGCCTAGGCACGGCCGTGCCGTGCCGCCCATTTGACCAACTATAGTTTTATAAGTTCCCTCGCTTCGTACTCCATGTGTCGTAAAGTTTCAGGCCTATTATTATTTTTAATATACGGTCTTCAATATTTGACCATCTATTTATTTCATAATACGTACCAATAACTATAAAATTAGCATAAGCTTTTAAAAATACGAATATAATTATATGATAGGCATCACATTAGATATAGAAATGGATAATATAAACATAGATATTTGACCATATATTTATTTCTCATTTTATCCCCTTTTTGTTTTTAAGAGTCCAATTGTCTTCATACTAATTTATGTTAGCAGGTCGTAGTTGTAAAATCTCCTCTCTTTTTTTCTATGATACGTAAGGCTTTTACGTGTTCGTAAAATAATTATTAGTTAAAAGTTGTCTAGATTGATTTTTCTAAAAACAAGGACGTCTCGTTAAATTGAGACGGAGGGGGTATTAAGTTGCAATGCACAATGTGAGCTGCACTTTTCCATATGTGAAAGCACAATGCTTGCCACGTCTGAGAGAAGTGGTTGTGCATTCATCATGTGCTCTTCCGATCCTAGGCAAAAACTTTGCTCTTCTTTCTTGTGTGAGTTTGTGGCTTTAGGTGTATATATAGAAGCAGCCTTGTATGATTCCATCTGTCATCATCAACTTTGCTGACCTAATTACTCTTTTCAGATTACCCTAATCTGGAGAGCAGAGACTGCACTGACAACAAAAGGTTTGTTCTTCTAGAGAGACAGCTGATCTGGAAAATTGTGCAGGTGGTGACTGATTTGGGTAAAAGTGTGCTTAGGTGGTTCTGTTAATTGGAGGCAATTAGTTGTTGGCTTAGTCATGGCTGTGTTGGCCTACTTTGTCTGTTTCTCATCTCATGGAGCAGACAGATGTGTGATATCTGTCATCAAACCAAGAGAAACGAATAGAAAGCTTCATTCCATCATGTGCTAAAGAGAGCAAGCTAGTTACTAGGGAGATGATCATGATGAGTCCATAACCCTAATATACTGATGTGCAATCTTTTAAAGGACCCTCTCTACATACGTCTAGCAATAAAATTCTCGGTGATATTCTCAGAATTCTTGATCTCATTTTGGGGAAAAAAATGATTCCTTGTCAGAGTATTTTAAAGAAAAACATTTGAATTTTGAAAGGAAAACCCAATTTTGAACAATTCAGATCTAAAGAAATTGAGGGGCTGTTTGGTTCGCGTCTTGATGCTTGCATGCCTGGCCGGAGCGCTGCCTAAGCTCCAACAACTACGTGTTTGGTTTGTGCCCTGGTGTATCCTGAGCTAGCCTGACCTGACTCTTCATTAGCCTGCTAAATCCTCAGGCAACTTTATTAGCCTGAGCCAGGCCATCGAATTTGGATGCCTGAGCTTCAGGCAGCTACTCTTAATGATGCATGTGTCATTTATTCTATGCTTTGCTCTAGTAAAAGTTGCTTTTTGATATTTTATTATTCTTCAGGTATGTGCATGAACCAAACACACAAAGCTTCAGGCTGCCTATGAGGCAAGTGTTGCATCTCCCAATGCTGCCTGTCCGGCGTGAGTTTTTCTCAGGCGTGGCCCTCAGGACACGAACCAAACAACCCCTGAGTAACTGCAGCATTTTTGTGGGAGCAGAAAAAAAATCTCGGCGAGATTCATCAGAACTATGGTCATCCGCCAGTAGTGATCATGTCCTTGTACGCTCTAGCTAAAATTCATTCATTTGGCTCGCAAGAAAAGAAAATAAAATCATTCATTTGGCTTGAACACTAGTGTCAGGCTGTCTGCAATCTGCATGTTACTGTTCCCCTAGAGTTTAGCATCGGAGTTTGGCTGATTTAGAACGGACTTAGAAACAGGGCGCCAAAAAAAAGAGAGAGAGAGAGAGAGAGAGGAGAGAAACAGGATTTTACTGAACAAGAATGCATCATGGCTGCATCGTCAATTTCTTCAGCAACGCAGGAATGCAGATATGCAGGCATGCAGAGCAAAGCAGTCCTATCAAGTATGCAAATCAATCACTAACTACTCCAGTACATACACTGAATTGGCGAGTTAAATTACTGATAAGCAAGCAGGAAATGAAAGTGGTAGGCCGGGCTGGATTAATTTGCAGGAGAGGAGGAGAGGAGAGGATCAGAGACAGGCCTGTTGCCGAGGAGAGTGTGGAGCCTGAGGATGAGCTCCTCCTCGTCGCCGGAGATGTTGCCCCTCTTGATCCCCGGCCGCAGGTAGTTGAGCCACCGCAGCCGGCAGCTCTTCCCGCACCGCTTCAGCCCTGCATTGCATTCATCCATGGCGATCTCATCTCATCACTTCATCAGCTGTTCACCACCGATCGAAGGCAAAGCTAGAGAGTAGAGAGGAGGAGGAAGAAGACGACGACCGACCGGCTCTCTTGGGGAGGGCTCCCCATTTGCCCTCCCCGTGCTTGGCGATGTAGGACACCAGGATGTCGTCCTCCATTGCCGTCCATGCCCCCCTGTTCAGCCCCTCCTTGGAGCAGCACGGCTTCCTCCCCATCCACGATTGCTCGATCGATCGCCTACAAACAATGCCAATGGCGGCAGCGTCTCTCTTGCTCTCTCTCTCTCTCTCTCTTGTTGATCTCAAGCAGAGAGCAGGAGACACGTCTGGCTATGTCATATGTAGTGACTCCAATTTGCACAAGGCATTCCGTTCTTAGATGATGTGGTTATCTCAAGGGGATGGATTTGGTCGTCTCAATTACTCCACTAACCAGATACAATCATTGGTGCCGTGGTTAGGGGCGGATCTACAGTATAAGTGTCGGTGTCAGGCGACAGACTTTCGGCAAAACCTATTGCAAAACTTCTTATCCATATACTATAACACTATAATCTAGGCATAATTAACATATTATGACATCGATAGACATGCCAACGAATCGATTTTCTGGATCCGTAGTAGCTTTGATTTGCAGAGTGACCACATACAGATTCTGAGGTTGGCATTCACCATCAGCGGTTAATACCAACCAATTTAACTCTTTAACCCAACTGTTCGTGCCTTACGCAACCGACCACTTTAACCAAACGGCGCCTGGAATTTTTTAGGGAATCTTCTTTAACAAAACTGGGAAGGTGACCTGTATGCGCGGGTATTTGTACGGTTGAACTTAAAATTATACTCCACCCGTTCCAAAATATAAGTATTTTTAAAATAGTGTCAATTCAAACATTTTTAACTTTGACTATTAATAGAAAAAAAATAAAAAGATCAATCAGTTAAAATTAATGTTACTAGTAGATTTATCATTGAATAAACTATCATAAAATGCAACTCCCTTTATTTAAAACATCTTACTTTTATATATATTGTTAACCAAAGTAGCATCTAAAAATTATGTCGAAATCCAAAAATACTTATATTATAGGACGAAGAGAGTAGTTTGTTTCTATGATCATATGATTTGTATAATGGCTATTTGAGGGTATAAACAAATCAATTAACTTTTACAAAGTTGAGAATTTGTTATAGAAAAGTATACCAAAATAATTATATAGTATTTTTCACGAAAAGTATCATAGCTTGGGAAGCGTGCAAATAAAAATCCAAAATCTAGAATAAAAAAAATAACAGGGTCTTAGCTAGGCTCCCCTATAACACTCTTGTTTTGATAATAGGTCTAGTGATATTGGTTAATATTTTTTTTCACTTACGTGAATAAGTAGTACTAAATATAAATACACCCTAGTACATTATAATTAGGTAATTGACCATCTGTTTTAGCTCACACGGGTTTACATGTTGTGAAAAATCAAACCACGCTGGTTAATTCTTCTCTCTGTGCATTACCCTTCAATTTGTTTTGACGTTATTAACAAACTAAACGTTATACTTTGATGAATTTGATACATCTTCACCTTGGCAAAGTGGTAGCGTGCAGCTGTTGTGATCGCTTTGGTTTAATATATTTCAATGCAGAAAAAATATATACACACATACACAAAGTTTGTATACGCACTAAAAATAAAAAAAATAAAAAATACATCACGTATAGAAAGTTTGTATACGCGTATATAAAGTTTGTATACGCGTATATAAAGTTTGTATACGCGTATATAAAGTTTGTATACGCGTATACAAACTTCGTATACGCGTTTGTATACGTGTATAGAAAGTTTATATACGCATATATAATTTGTATATATACGCGTATATAAAATTTCTATACGTATGAATATAAATTTGGTATACATACGAATATAAACTTGGTACTTATACATCTTTAGAAAAACTGTAAAAAACCGAACAGAAGAGAAACCGGAAAAAAAACCGAATAAACGAAAAAACCAGAGGAAAAAAACCAAACGAACAGAAATGAAAAAAAAAAGAGAAAGAGAAAAAAAATGGAAAATTCGCTCCTCTCCCTCGCGGCGTGTCCGCCGCTCCCTCTCCGCGTGCGACACATGTCCAGTCGCGTAGAGAGGGGGGCGCGCGACTGATCGCGCAATGTAGAGGACCGGAGAGAGATGTCTTCAGAGGCTTTCGTTTTAACAACAGATAGATCTAAAGATCTAAACAATTGGTCCATTGTTTAAATGGAAATTGATGGGCAACTATTTCTTTTACAAAATAGGTTTGAACTTAGTATAAATTAGTCAATATGTGAAGAGTAAATTGCATATTGGGCCACCTTTCTTTACCATTCTGTCAATTTAGACCGGGGATAGAACAATTTTTTCACTTTGGACCACCTAAATTTACATGTTTGTTTCACTTTGGGCCTCTTCTTCCACATCCAGCTCCCTCTCTCTTATCTCTATTTCTTCTCTCTTTCTTGACTGCAAAGGGCTAGAGGAACCACCATGAGCAGGCCAACAAGTGATCATCAGTGCTCGTACCGAAGCTCCGTCGGCGTCACCTCCTCGTGCTTGGAAAGGAGATCGATCTCCCTGGCTGTTGGGAGGTCAAGCTCCAGCTCGAGGTAGAGTATGGCAAACAACGGGACTCGAGATAGTGAGGCATCAGCAGAGCTTGAGAATGAGTGCGGCATATAATTCAGGGAGGCCAGAGAGAAGATCGATGGAGTTGAAGGTGGAAGAGTGCCCCAAAATAAAACAATATGTAAATATAGGTGGTTTAAAGTGAAAATGTTACTCTATCCCTGGTCCAAGTTGAAACAATGGTAAAAAAAGGTGGCCCAATATGCAATTTACTCGTGAAGAGTAAATAGATCATATGGCGGTGTAAATTTTATTTTCAAACCCCACGTTATTTAAAAATGTTTAATGATGTAAATGGATAAAAATTAACTATATGATTCAAATGTTTATAGTTCTTTAACATTTATTATCGTTGTCACCTCGGCAGATCACCTTAGTTGTCTCATGTATGAAGCTTCATCATACATGCGAAAGCAAAGATGTACATGTGCATTGTGCAGAGGGTCAGATAAATGTTCTTAGAGGCTTTGTTTTCATCAAAAGATAGATCTCATATTCTAAATAATAGGTCCACTGGCTTAAGCAAAAGATTTTTAGGCAAATATTTTTAATTAAAAAAATAGTTTAAAATAACAGATTCACTTGTTTAAATATAAATTGGTTAATATAGATCATATAATAGTGCAAACTTTTTTTTTCTCAAACGGTGCACTATTTGTAAATATTTAACGATGTAAGTGGATAAAAGTTAGCTATCAATTTATTATACTTTTTTCAAATTAAATATCACTTTATTTTCAAATTAACTATCACTTTATTTTAAAATTATTGTAAGTGGATAAAATTTTGTACATGTAGAGGAGGTCGGTTTAGACTAATGTTTTTATAAGTTTTTCTTTTAATAAGTGAGATTGATTTCCTGTGGTGCATCTTGTAGGCCCATGGTGACTGAACCATGCATATGGTTGGCACGTCTAATAGAAAATGTCTAATAGTGTTCTTTAGGAAAAAGGAAAACGAAAACATACTCTACCGTACTTGATCGGTGTTTATAGTTGTTTAAAATTGAGTGAAGTGTATGGGCAGTACTTAAACTTGTATAAATGTGTCATCTAGATCTCTAAACTCTCAAAATGTATTTTTGGGTTTCTGAACTTGTCATGAGTGTCATGTAGGTCCAAACGGGCTCCAACCCGCTCGATGAGATGACGTGACATGCCACGGTGACGCTTACATGTCAGTGGTATCCACATGTCATTCGCATAAAAAAATAAAATTTAAAAAGAGAGGAGAGAGAGAGAGGAGAAAAAGGATGTTTTCAATTTTGAAAAAATAAATGAAAAAAGAGAGGAGAAAAGCAATATTCTTAATTTTTTCTATATATGACTGACATATGGATTCTATTAACACATAAGCGCCACCATAGCATGCCACATCAGCACACGGAGTGAGTTGGAGCCCATTTGGATCTATATGACACCCAAGACAAGTTGAGGGGCTCAAAATGCATTTGAGAGTTCAGGGACCTAGGTGACTTGACACACCTACACAAGTTTAGGGACCGCCTGTGCACTTTACTCTTTAAATTTTATTGTCACAAAATGAATTTCCATCTAACTAATATAGCATAAAAAGAGAAGAGATAGGAAATAGAAGGGGAGGTCATATAGGGGAACGCGAGTAGGTACATACACATGATGGTACGGGAGGTAGGCATAGCACAGCAAACCGGGCTAGAGGTTGACCCGCTCTGGTTGTTAGTTCACCGGTTGAACCACCGGATCACTGGTCGAACTGCCGGTTTTTTTATTTATTAATATTATATTTGATTTGCATTATTTGAAATATAGAATCATCATAAATTGGTGAAAATATGCATAAATAAACTAGTATATCTATTATTATATGGCCACAACATCAAAAAAAAATGTAGTGTGGTAACATAATAAATTCATAATGCTATACTGGTAGGACAAATTAAAACCGGTTCGATTCTTCAAAAACCACTCCCAATTCACCGGTTCCCATAAAACCGCCCGGTTCACAGGTTTTTTACCGGTTCGATTGCAGGGACGGTCTTTTTGTTGAACTGAGCCATCAAGGTCGCCGGTTCCGGTTTTTCTTGATTCAACCGCCAGCTCAGTCCCCCCCCCCTTTTTTACTATGCAGGTAGGGCATAGTGTCTATTTTTCTTTAATATAAATCTAATCTAATGGTTTATAATATTGGACCTACCGATTTAATTGAAAAATCAAATGATGTGTTTTGTTTTTCTTATCATCTTCTCTAATTAATTAAAACGCCACGTATCAGCTTGAGAGTGTTTTTGAACGCTACATGTCAACTTAAGAGCGCTTTTATAAAGTTTAATGGACTTTTAGTATGTAATATGAATATGATATGATACCTAAAATAACTTTATAATATGATACAGAAAGAGTAACAAACATGGCATCAAATTCACTGTGATGCATCGTAGCAACAATGGAGTGAGTTTTTTCCCCTTGTCTACGGACAACAAACATGTGACTTGAGTTTCCTTTCGGCCTAATACCAGCCCAACATTGTGCTTACACGGGCCGTAACCCACTAAATTCACCTCCGAGCCCATTCCACTCGAAAAAGACCTTCGGGAAGCCTCTTTGCCTCCCGCTCCTCGCCGCCCCCGCCCCGCCGCCTCCCCCCCACTTCAAGTCTCCATTCCTCCATCGCCGCCTCGATCTACTCGCCGATGGCGCTCTCCCCTCCCGCGGCCGCGCGCTCTTAGCATCCGCCGCCGCCTCCGCCGCCGTCCACGCCTTCGATCCACTCCCATGTCGGAGCCGCCGGCCTCATCCTGCCTGCTTCAGTAGGCTAACCGACAGGGGGGAATTCCGGCCGGGAGCCAGGCTGGGCGCCCATGTCCCCCTCCGCCACCTCGCCGCCGAATCGCCCACACCGCAAGCGCCGCGCCGGTGCCGGTGGCGGTGGCGCTGACGACGGCTCGACCCGCCGCCGCGGCCGCAGCGCTGTCCTCCTCGGCCCCACCCACTTCCCCGCCGTTCGCTCCTTCGGCCTCCGCCTCGCCCTCGTCGTCGCCCCAGCCCCACGTCACCGCCGCAAGCAGCGCCCGCTCCACTACGCCTGCCGCCCCACCTCCCTTCCCTGTCGCCGCCGCCGTCGCCTCCGCAGTATCATCTCCCTCCTCCACCTCCCCATCCTCCGCCCGTTCTACCTCCGCTACATCCTCGCGGCAGCCGCATCAGGCCCCTGCCGCTGCCGCCGGAAGGAATCCCTGGTAGGCATGGGAAACTACATCTCGCGGGTGCTCCGGAAGAGCTCTAGTGACCGTGGTAAGGCGCCGCCAGCCGACGATACAGCCAAGCAGGTACCCAATTTTTAATCTAATTGAGTACATCTGGCATGTAATTTGCTTGAACCGTCAGTTTGCACAGTAAAATTGACAATGCAACATAGTTTCAAAAGATGGTAATACGTTTGAGTCAATCCAAATTGCTTTTAGTGAAATAAGTGGATAAGTAGGAATTTATATTAGCTATATTGTATCAAGTATTTTAATCCACAAGTGAGAGTAAAAAGTTAAGTACTTGCATTTCCAGCCTGTTCATTTTTTTTTCTTTTGAAGTCAAATACTGTTAACTAAATTAATTTGAGCACTGCAAATTGACCTTTGTTGTCATATTTTATCCTTGACTATTCCAGGATCTATGTGAAGTTTTTACACCTCTGACAAATGAAGAAGAAAGTGAAGTAAACAACATTTTGTATGGCAGTGATCAAAGGTATTGTAGGCAACCATGAATTTAATTGGCTGATTACTTCTCCTATATCTTTAGCACAATCAGGAATTGATTTTCCCTTTCTTTTTTTGCAGTAAGAAAATAATAGTGATGCATGGACCTTCCAATATTGATATTACTAAAGAGAAAATCTGGTGCTTGAGAACTTGTAATTGGTTAAATGATGAGGTGAATACGGCCTGTCCATGGAAGGAATCCTGAAGAATATGTTAAACAAATGTCCCATTCTTTCTGATCTTGACATTAGTGGTTCCATTTTCCATGCTTCACAGAACCAAGACTGCATCAGCATTCTACTTTTGTTCCTTGCAGGTCATTAATTTGTACCTTGAATTGTTAAAGGAGAGGGCGCAAAGAGAACCAAAAAGATTTTTGAAATGCCACTTCTTCAATACATTCTTTTATAAGAAGGTTAGATAATTTGCATATTTTTCTTTCCGGTGCTGTATGATGGAATGTTCTTTTCAATATTTCTGTAGTTCTGTTACACACACCATTTTATGATCTTCAGCTTATCAGTTGTCTCTTTGAAGCACTATCAAGTGATATTTATGCAATTATTACTTGACTCTTTTCCCTTTTTTTGAGGGGAATTTATTATTTTCCTTCCATAGTAGGAATTATCTGCCAGTTAGCAGGAAAACCTGTGATTCTTTTCCTTCGATAGTGGAAATTGTTGGCTAGTTTGCACAAAAAACCTGTGTTTCAACACTCAAGCATACGGTACCATACATTTGTTTGAGAACACGCAATTCCTACCTTATCCTTAATATATGTTGATGTGTGCCTTGTATTTACTTAATTGATGACCCTTTTCTTGAGTTACAAATTTTGTGTGGTTGTTATTCTCTTACTTTTTTTTTTGCTAATTTTCCTTGTAGGTTGTAACATCCCTTACTATCCCTTACTATTTATTAATAACCTTGCTTAGATATCAAATGAATTCTAGCAGTAGTTTGCACCTTCATGATTTTCTGAATTCTCTTCAGCTTGCTTGTGGAAAAACTGGTTATGACTATCAATCTGTAAGAAGATGGACAACCCTCAATAGATTGGGCTATGGGCTTGTTGAGTGTGAGAAAGTAATGTTACTGTTATTATTTTTTCAATGTTTTTCATGTCTGTTTGTCTTTCAAACAAATCATGAGATTTATTGTGCAGATCTTTATTCCAATACATAGAAATGTGCATTGGTGCCTTGCGATAATAAACATGAAGGATAAAACTTTTCAATACCTTGATTCTTTTGGCGGCATGGACCATGCTGTGCTGAGAATACTGGTAAGCTTAGCTGATTACAAGTATATTACTGGATTAGAGAGCCAGTTACTTCCAATTAGTTCAGTTACAAGTCCGACTTATGAGACGTTAGTTTGGTAAGATGGCACATTGATGACTTAACAGTTGATTCAGTCATAGCATTTGGACTTAATTGCTCCAAATTAATTTTGCTAAGTATGTTATGGTGCTCTCTATTTGGATGCCATAAATCTCCAGCTCCCACAATAGTTAAAGGGTGGACAAAATTTTACCCCTGATGCATTCATGGACTTATTTTTTGGTGCTATAGAAATGAGAAAGGTCTTACGTTATCACAAATATTTGTGATATCTTAAAATCTGACATGATTCAGAGTTATTCTTTGAAATTTAAATTGTGACTTACGAAGCAGTAATCCATGTTAATTAGAATTTACCCATCAGGTGCTATTTCAAGCTTTCAGTTATTTTCAAGTGAAGTTCTGTTTTCTATTCCTCTCAGGCTAGATATATCAGGGATGAATTGAATGACAAGAGTAACATACAGGTAGACACCAGTTCATGGCTGAAAATATCATCAGATTCTTGTCCTTTGCAGCAGAATGGGTACGTTCTCTTTACATGCTACATATGACCTACCAGAATTACGTATGGAATGAATAATGGTTTACCTTCGGTTCTGCAATGAACACAGATGAAGGTCTAAATTTTATCACTCAGTGCATTAATACATTATCGACATTTGTGTTGTGCATATCAATGACCAAGCATGGTCCGCATGGATATGTCTGACACTGAATTTCTCTTTTAATAGGTGGGATTGTGGTATGTTTATGCTTAAGTTCATTGATTTCCACAGTAGAGGTATTGGCCTATGCTTTACTCAGGTGAGTATAGTACAAAATACTGGATTCAAGTTATTATATATGCTTAATCTGTTCACTCATTGATTTGCTGTTTGCACTATTAAGTCAATCTCAAATGAAGAGTCTTAACCTGCTAAGATGAAGCACAATCTCTCTCTTTCATACATCTAAAGTGGAGTAACATGTACCTTGTACTTAATTGTGTTTGGTGTCATCTAAATCAATCACTATTTGCAGGAACATATGGATTACTTTAGGAAACGAACAGCGAAGGAGATACTGAGATTGAGAGCTGACTGAAAAGATGTCCTTTCTTGTTCACACACTCTTGGGCATTTTGTCAAGGTAGGTATTCTTGCGACCTATTGGAAAAGACATAATGATGTATTTATTTTCTACTAGGGTGTTTTGTTGATTACAAGTGGCTGGAACAATTTTGCATAATTCTTTACCCCTTCATTTTCTAGGATCTTATTTTGATAGAATAGGGAGAGATTGAAATGAGACCCCAAGGGAACAAGACAGAGCTAACAGAAGTCGGAATGTAAGAGCTTAGATGATTAGAACAAGAATGCTTAACCCATACCATGTATAGCCGCCAATTAGAACTATAAAGAGATAAAAGGGGGTATGAATCCACATTTTGTTATTCTTTAAAATATTCAAGTGAACTGTTATGAAATAGATATGAGGTGATTTACATCAATTATATTTTGTGAAAAGGGCGTCACCCATCAAATTTTTTTCCTTATAGCATCTCCTTTGCCTCTGGCAGTATTAGCCATTGGCTAACTTGAAAAATAATTGTCGAAGGTGATCGTCTTTCTGGAACTCATATTGCCCAGCACCACAGGATATGAAATATGGTAACTCACAACCCGCAAATCGCTGCCTGCTGGTGTAATTAAGTAATCGACATACTTCCTGTAAGCACATACGAAGTTATCATCTCTACCCCAACATTCAGTTGGATGAGATCATAATAGGCAACTGTAAGCTGAAGTGTTTTCATCAAGGATTTGGAAAATTGCAGTATTTACTAGCAAAAGATATTGACATCATATATTGCTGTTTACAGAAAAGAACCTGTATAGGCGGTTCTAGCAATAAACTACAAATAACTAGCTTGGTACGTGTAGGACAGGCAATTGTAAAGTTGGATACGATCTATGAATGGCTTGGCAATCAGCATGTTTGGATTCGTTTGCTCCAGTGCTTAAAATGATTTCAAATTTTCCCTGCATAAACAAAGCACAACGATCGAGAGAGAAGAATCATATGGATACATGCAGACAAAGCGATGGATTTTTTTAAATCTCTTTCCTTTGTCCTTCCTTGAGTCAATATCTGATCACCTGCCAATCAACATACACACGAATCAGATGGCCTTGGATCTGTGTCTCGTACTCATATTCATCAAACATTCCCGAATATATGACGGCTTACGATATCAATATCATTTCTCAAGAGCTGACAAAAGAGAACAGGATTTAAAACCTATCAAATACTCCCTCCTTTCTAAAATATAATGTCACACATTTTAGTTATATCAATCTAGATAGGGACATATCTAGATTCATGGTATTATGATACATCCCATTTGATCCTAGGTTTCTATATTCTGGGACGAAAGGAGTATACATGGTAATAGGTATACATCTGCATGCAAAACAGCTTAAGGGTGTGTTTGATTGAGCTGTGGCTTTTGAAAAAGTAGCTGTTGGCTGTGGATTTTTGAAAAGTAGCTATAGAATATAGGCTGTGGCTTTTGGAAAAGCTCGTTTGGTTCAGCAGCCGTAGCTTTTGAAATAACTAGTCTCGCTTACAAGCGGGTCCCACATGTCATAAACATATTGGATCTTCTTGTTCGTCTCACCACCATAGGATGCCTGAGATCACTGGAGCTGCTCGGTTGGGGCAGATGCGGCGGCGCCGCTGGATCGGTAAGACGGCGGCGGGGGTTCCAGCTCCTCGGCTCCGCCCGCCACGCAAGCTGCGCCTGTCCGCCTCCTCGGCTCCGCTCGCCGCCTCCGCCGCGCCCCTGCCCCGGCCTGTGCCGGCCTGTGCAGCCGCCTGCAGGACCTCACCGCGGGCGTCCAGGTCCTCTGACGCCAGGTTAATTTAGTACTAGAATAAGTTAATCTAGTAATAGAATAGAATATGATATCCTAGTACTAGATTAACTTATTTTCAGACGGAGTAGTATGAATTTCATGTTGTCAATTTGTCATCCATCCAAATGACATATTTCTTCACAGGCTTGCTCTTGGCTGTCACTATCATCTATCAGTACAATATTGTTCCAGCGAAGACTTAGCCAGGAACAGAAGCATCTGTGCTTTGATATATCATATGTTTATTCTTGCGAGCGCACATCGTAAGAAAGAGCAAAGTAATCACGACAAATAGCATCGTTAAAGGTGAAATGCACGTCATCGTACTATAGGTATGTCTTGTAATAATTGGTGGGAACTGGGAAGGTTTCTGGAGTTACCGACTTTTGGTCAATATCGTCGTATCAACACGGATAACTTTGAAAAGAAAACAACTCCAAGAAAACAAATTGATCGGTACTTCAAAATCAACACGACTATTACTCATATAAAAATATTACACCATAAAATATTTTCAGCGGCCAATATGGGGAAACAGCTTTGACGTATATAGTTCTGATAATCTGGAACACATCAATTTCAAAATTTTTAAACGTTGACTGCACTGCACACACTCTAAAACAAGAATGGCCAGAAATGTGCAAGACCTTGCTCTAGATCAAGCTGTCAAGTTTGGTGAGGATCTTGCTACTGCAATCTTTGCTGATGATTATGGGGTTGCAAATTATCATTAAACAAGAAGATCGGACCCGGCCCATGTGGATGAAAAGCTTCTCAGATTCTCGTCCTTGGGTTCGATTGCAATAATCACATGGAGCTTAAGAGTCAACTATCCTATCAACCACTGGATCAGCACCAGCTTTATTCCTCAAAAGGGAAAAAAAATCCTGATTGTACTCTCATCTTTATTCTGCCCCAGCAGCAATCTCCTCTATCTGAAAAATGCTGTCGATCTGTCATTTGTGTTAGGCTGGCCCTGGCCCTGGTCTGGCCACCAGGGCTCAGTTTTGGTGCTTTTGTAGCTAGCTTGGTCATGCAAAGTTGCTTTCTCTTCGGAAGATCCCAATCGGTCGAGAGTTGATTATATATAAAAACGACTTATTATTGATAAAAAAATAATTTGAGTAAAAAATTTATATAGAAATGTTGTTAATGACTTAAAAGCCAATACTTTAAAATTATGTTAAGAATACTCTAAAATTTAAGTTTTAAAATTTAAATTTTGGTAGTGAATGATATGTTGTGGGGCAAACGATGAGGCCTTTGTTAAAGTGGAACTACATGGCATATTCAGAAACAAGGTTAAAAAAAAGGGAATATACAATAGTGGACATATTGTGGAAAATGCTAATAATATTCCCTGCAAAAAAGAAAAGAAAAAGGCTAAAATATTAAAGAGCTAGTGATTCATACTTGTAATAGCCAACTATTCTGCAAGTAAAGGAGATAGATATTGTTTCCCATCAAATCAAGAGATGGAATAGGGTGCGAGCAAGTGACATCTTGCATGAAAAGGAAGGGATCACTCAGACACACTAACTCACTAATTTAACCATAACAAAGTGTAGGCTAATTTGTGTTTTCTTTCTTGAAAACTATTGAGGTGTCTTTGTTTTAAAGCTTCCAATAACGTCTCTAAAAATTTCAGCCCTTTTGCCAACATGCATTAGTTAGACAAGTTGAAATCTTGACAGGGATAGGAGAAAAAAAAAAGGAGAAAGGGGCAGGTACATTCCCAACTTTCCATTGGCCATTACACAACACTTTCACAATCAAGGCAGGTTCTAGCTCTAGCTCAATCTCTTCTAGAGCTGGAGTCTAACCAAACGATTTCAGCTCCATAAAAAAGAAAGCGGAACAAGCTAAAGTGATATGAGAAAAAGAACTAGACAGGTGGAGCGGAGTTTGGGCTGCTCCGTGGCTCTATTGCTAAAGTTAGATTTAGTAGTTGGTGCCCTACCAAACAGATCATTGATAACTCTACAAATAAGGAGACATTTTGTTCACTTTGTTAAGGAAAGATTCATTTATTAGGGCAAAATTTCACTTTGCACCAAATTTCCTTTGTGTAGTTGTGGTAACTAAACTGTGTATACAAAGAAATACGCATTGTTTTCATTGGCTGGTCCAAATTGTAGGGAAATGCAGACGATAGTGATCACATCAACATTGTAAATGCATACAAATATAGACTATATGTGTGATTTTGACACAAATGTATTTCAAAGCATGCATATGCAAATATCAAGGAAATATGTTTTTGTTATGCGCCGGATGGGGGCCCAAACGCCTAAGAGCGTAGTTGTGCTTGATGGGAGGGTGAGGGCGCACGCCTCGCCTCCCCGGAGCCATGCCGGCGAACGGAATAGAAGGAGAAGGGAAGAGATTGAACTGGGGATAATTGCTTGCTTTATTCCCTGAATGATCTGCCATATATAAGCTTACAACTAAACCGAATTGCTAATTTAAAGGACTCAACAAACTAACAAACTTTAGATAAAATTGAGAAACAACAAGAACTGTAGCAATCCGAAAACGATGTTGACGCTCCCCTGTGCGCGCGATGCCTCATCTGCCCACTTACGTCACACCACCCTCATCCGTTCCCGCTTGTAGGCTTCGCTTTATCGCACGACGGTGGTATGAAAATCCCCACATAACAGTTTTTATCATTTTTATGAATTAAGACTTTGAGATCCTCATTGCCATCGGTCTCTGCAGCTGTTCTTAAAATGTTAAAGGCATGGACAGCATGGTGCAAGAATAGAAAGAAATCAAGAATTTGGTTATATGTTCTATGAAGGTCCTGTTATTTTCTGATTAAGCGTCGAAACAAATTTTCGGCAATATGAAAAGGGGGTAGCGCACGAGACCTAAAAGTGGATGGATGCGGAGACAAAGATTTAGACAGGTTCAGGCCCTCTCAATGAGAGGTAATACCCTACTCCTGTTTGGGGATTTGAATCTGCCGAGTGAATTATAGATCTGACGATCTAGTTGTCTCATGCCCCCTAGAGGGCCTCCTGCCCACCTTATATAGGATGGGGGGCAGGATTACAAGATAGAAACCTTAACCAATATGGTATCGGTTTCCTAAATCTACTTTACAATCTTATCAAACCAGAACTTTAGGCCGTTCCATAATATACAGGGAAACATAATACCCAAGTCATGATCCGTTACATATTCCATAGATATAAGTTATCCCCTATAACTAGTCGGATAATCATGCCGTGTGGGTATGTGGTACCCATAATCTCCACAGTAGCCCCTGAGACCTTCACAGTCGAAAAGATAATCTTCTCTCGAACCAGATTACTCCAAAGCCAAGTACTTCAATCATCTTTGCCATGATCTCCCGAGAACTTTTACCAAATCTAAAGACTGTGGAGGGCTGAAAAATAAAGTTGGTGCATCGACTAGATGCACCTTATAGGTGTAGCCCCCGACTATGTGGTTAGCTTGAACAAACTAAGCATATAGTCAAGGAATAAATAATCCAACCAACAGAGTGGTCTTGATAATTGTAATCAACCAAGTGACTTGATATCAATGTATAGCATATGCGGTGTAAATCCTAGAATAATATGATTCAAGTGATATACCGTCTGCTTTGTAAAATATGATGCGTGCAACCTAAAGTTGACTACATCATTGAAAATTCACACGCAAAACAGCTATAAAGAAGCTTTTATGTTGTGAATAAAGAAATTTCCAAAGTATTGGGCATACACCATGCGCACACTGCTTTAACAGATGTGCTTAAGTCTCTAAAAGACACATGGTTTCACCACACCTGGAAATATACGGTATATGTGGTGTAAAATCCGAGTAAATAAACTCATAAAGGATTTACCAACTGCCTGGAAAATGACCAAGATATATAATTAGCCTAAGCCATAATATTGGTCAATAAAAATGCACACTTACGTGGCAAAAAGCAACGATATTGTATCCAATCAATTGCTTAAAAATCCAAACAACACCTTGACTTATATAAAAAAGTCAGCGGGGCAGCTATATAAAGCTTTACTGTTTGACACCTTTTAAGATGCATTGTACCAACTCCTAAAAAGTTGAGTAACTGCGGTATAAAAGGATTTTAAGGTATTGGGCACTTGATCACGTGCACTTTGGCCTAAGCAAAAAGTGCCTAAGTCCCTAAAAAAACGTAATAGGCCATACCTGAAAATATGGGCTACAGACATATTAGGCCAAAGCCAAAAAATATGCCTTCGACACCCTTTAAAGGATGACGCATGTAACATGCTCCCGAGTAATAAATCTTTCGGGTGATATAGACCAAGTGTAGCTCATATGAATAGCTTCTTATCTGAGTGATTATCCCTTATGTGATACTCCAAAATAGATATAATAATTGAATCCCGACTAGCACAAGTATTCGGTTGATAACCCTTACGGGGAATAATAAATAGTCCAGTCTTCGAGCATAGAAAATAATCTCAGAACAAAATCCAACTTGAAGGTATGATCCTTGTGTTTGAGTTGATAAGCCCCTGAGCATATAACTTATCCTTCTATTGTAGTCACATTTGTCCATTGATAGTAACTGACGCAGTCGGCATGGAGACGAAATGACCAACATGAAGATGATATCACCCATCAAAGCAGTCGGCGGCGGCGGAGGCAGGCCGGCAATAAAGACGTAGACGCGCATCAACAGCGATGATGAAATCCACTAATCATGAGGATGAAGAAAATAGTCGGCGACAGCAAACGCAACCGACATGATGAAGATGACGATGTCAATGATCCAGTCAATAGTAGTATTGCGGCCGATGATAATGACGAAGACACTCATCAGTGTTTGCATAGTAGGTCAACCATGACGGTGAAATAACAAGCTGGCAATGACGAAAGCAACTGGAGGCGAAGACGTAGTCACTCATTAGCAACGGCAGAGATGTCAGGGCCGATGAAGTAGAGGTGCTGGTGATGATGTCAGTGACAATAATCCATCAAACTGTTGAGAAGATATCAAAGCTTGAGTAGTTTCCTTGATGCGAGTGTGTGCATAAAGAAGATTGATGCAACGCTCCTTGATTTATGAAGATGGCAGTAGAACTTGGTATTATAGCTGTTGCAGATGCTTCATTTGGAGGAAAATAAATGATGTTGTCCAACTCGTTGAATCTGAGTTAATTGGTTGATAACTCCAAACTCCCGAACATGTAGATTAAATCTTGAACTTGATACTTGAGAATTTTGGAGTAGATTGTGGCGGCGT